TTTTCCATGTCGGCTTCTTTCAGAAGTTGATGATGTTGTGACAAATTTTCTTTTGGGGGTATTGGACTTGAATGAGAAAAAGATTGATGTGTACGATTCCATATATAGTGAGCCATATGAGGCAGGAATGAATGACATTGAAATATATGCACACATGATCCCCCATTTGCTAAAGTTCTCACAGTTTGAGAAAAATCACAAGACTTTTTGGAGATGCATTCAACAAATTTGATATTCAGTGGCAAAGATCACCACACCAAACTGGATCGTACGTGGTGTCATTTGCTATATAATTTATAGGTACTTTAGATTTATTTTATTAAAGATATTGTTTATGTAACGACCTGACCAGTCGTTTTGAGCTTTTGCACTTCGCTCGCCAGTTCTCGGGCACGACTAGCCCCGTGTGATGTATTATGACTTATGTGAATCGTCGGTTTTGGTTTTTCAGGGTAATCAGGATGAATTTGGAAGAACAATCCTCAGTTAGAAGTTTAAAATTTGAAAGGTTTGACCAAGATTTGACTTGTTGGTATATGATCTCGGATCAGACTTTTTACGATTTTGTTAGCTCCGTTAGGTGATTTGGGACTTAGGAGCGTGATCGGAATATGTGTTTTGGAGGTCTGTGGAAGGTTTAAGCTTGAATTGGCGAAATTGATATTTTGGCGTTTTCCGGTTGATAGATAAGATTTTGACATAGTGGTCGGAATAGAATTCTGGAAGTTGCAGTAGGTCTATTGTGTCATTTGGGATGTGTGCGCAAAATTTCAGGTCATTCGAACGTGGTTTGGTAGACTTTTTAATCAAAAGCAGAATTCGGAAGATTTTGGAACCTTAGGCTTGAATTTAATGTGATTTGACGGAGTCAATGTTGTTTGAGGTGTTTCGAAGATTGGTATAAGTTTGGGTAGTGGTATATGACTGGTTTGTGCTTTTGGTTGAGGTCCCTGGGAACTCGGGGTGATTTTGGATGGTTAGCGGAAGGTTTGAAGTTGAGTTGGGATAGCTGAGGCATTTTAGTTGCTGTCAGAACCGCACCTGCGGTTGGGAGGCCGTAGGTGCGTTGCTCGCAGAAGCGGAAGACAGCCGCAGATGTGGCCAAGATGAAGTTCTTCAGGAACCGCAGAAGCGGTGAAGTAGGCGCACTTGCGGTAGCGCAAGTGCGATTTTGAGTGAGTTTTCACCATATTTCATTTGGGAGAAAGCTTTGGAGAGCTAATTGAAGAGGAAATCAAAGGATAATCTCGTGGAGGTAAGATTTTGACTTCATAACTCATTTATATATAATTAAAGGCCTAATTAGTGATGAAATTTTGGGAAAAATCAGTGCAAAATGGGTAATTATGGCTTGAGATTAAGAGACTTTCGAGTGGGGATTTGAGGGGCCATTTGAGGTCCGATTTTGATATTTTTGATATGTATAGACTCGTGGAAGGATGAAGATTCTATTGATGTAATTTTTGTCGGGTTCTGAGGCATGAGTCCGGGGGCCAGGTTTGAGCAATTTCGGAATTGATGTTGTAAATTGATTATTTTCGCATGGGATTCGTTCAATTAGCATATTTTGACGTCGTGATTCTGATTTGGATAGATTCGACGCAAGTTGAGACCGATTCGAGGAGCAAAGGCATCGTGGGCTAGAGTTTGGACCAGATCGAGGTGAGTAATGATTGTAAATATTGTACTGAGGATATGAACCGCCGAATTGCACATCCTTGTGCTATATTGAGGTGACGCACATGCTAAATGACGAACGTGGGGTCGTGCACCATTGGGGATTGTGACACAGTCCATCCCGTATGACTATTTTACCGCATATTTGATTGAAAACTATTTGCTATTATCATATTTTGGGCTGAATACCATATTTGGGCCTCGTGCCAACTATTTGGACCCTTAGGGGATTTTACTGATATTTCCTCACTATTTTGACTTTATACTTGTACTCAGTCATGCTATATTCTACTATTTTCATAACTCAGCCATGTCTACTCTGTTTTAATACATTAAATGATATTTTAAATGATACTTTGGGCTGAGCATCATGTTTTACTAGTGCCCGAGTGGCTTATGAGATTCTGACTGAGTAAGGCCGAGGGCATGTGTTGTGAGAATACACTGATTGTGATTATGAGGCCGAGGGCCTGAAATTTGTACTCCATGAGGTGGCTTGTTGATATGAGGCCGAGAGCATATGTGATTATGCCACGAGATGGCTTGATATTGCGCTTGGGCCATAAGGGGCCCCTCCAGGAGTCTGCACACCCCCAGTGAGCGCGGGTACCCATTGTGATGTGAGATATAGCCCGAGGGGCTGGTGTTGTTCTATGATATTGCCCGAGGGGCGATCCTTTATGCTTTTATCTTTCCTAGTTTCCTGTCATTTACTTGCTTAATTGTTAAAAAAGCATTTCATGAAGTTTAAATTGAACTAAAATGACTTTACATATCTTCACTGATTCACTCTTTTTACTGGCTTTTACTGCTTCATTATAGCCTGTAATGTGCCTTACGTGATTTCATATTTCTCAGTGTTTATTTATGATTATTACTCAGTGAGTTGGAGTACTCACTTTACTCCCTGTATCCCGTGTGCAGATTCAGGCACTTCAGGTCTCGCTAGCGAGTGTTGATCCTTCCAGCTCAGGCATATTCGAAGATTCTCTAGGTAGATGACGACGTTCGCAGCCCAGAGCTTCTTCCCTTATATTAATTTCTCTGTTTTAGCTCTGTATTAGACTATGTAGACTCTTCAGACTTATAGTATATTGATACATGCTCATGACTAGTGACACCCCGATATCGGGCCGTGTTGTTTCCGCAAATTGTATTATTCACCATATTTTGGGATTTTATTATGTTTAATGACTTAATCTGTACTACTTTAAATTGCTTAAAATGAATTGGAAATGTGTCAACTGGCCTTGTCTTCAGGAGAGGCGCCATCACGACCGAGTTCGGGTTTAGGGTCGTGACAAGTTAGTATCAGAGCCTAGGTTACATAGGTCTCACGAGTCATGAACAAGTTTAGTAAAGTCTTGCAAATCGGTACGGAGACGTCTGTACTTATCATCGGGAGGCTGCAGAACCTTTAGAAAAAACCTCACATTCTCTAATTCTTATTGTGCGTCCTTGATTCAGCTTGAAATGTAACTCTTTGAATTCCTTCCACGCGTTCGCATGCACGCATGAGCGCTCAGTATCCGATATGCATCGATGGCTTGTGATTCCCTGATCGAGGGGCGAGATGTGATCTCTGCGTGTTGATGTTGGACCAGTTTGGAAGACTTGGGGCAGGATTTCTACCTATAGCTTGAGCCTTGAGCTGTTGATTGCATGAGCGCGTGTTTCTGGATCTATATGTTCTGTTGTGTCCCTATTAAGGGGAGCAATGACTGGATAACTACATGATAAGGGTGATGTGACTGCGAGATGTGTTCATATGAATCGAATGAGGCGAGAAGGGTCTGCTTTGGGGCAACAAAAACTATTTGGTGCTTGATTTCCATCTTGATTTGAGGTGTAGCCCCGAGTTATGAGTGTGTGAAGAATCTTTTCATGTTTTCTAGTTGGGAGTGAAGTAAATTTCATGTCGCAGTATGAGTTCAGACTCAGGAAGATTAAGTGACTGCGTAATGTTGAATGATAGTGGCTGGTATAAAGAAATGTTAGTTTGAGGCGAAGCAGGTGGATCATCTCCTACGGAGTGTTCTGAAGTTGTGTGATCCTTATGTGGTTAGATGGAAGATCTCTTCTACCAAGGAAATATATGTGAGCAACTTGAATTTGGGTCGTTAAGAGAGTGAGTTTAACTGTTTCAAGAGCGAATGCGAGATTTACAGAAGATTTAAAGTATTAAATGGTCTGTGTTTCACGAGCTTATGAAGGATTGAGTTTAATCTCACTATGTTATTATAACAGTAATAGCGTATATGCGTTATGAGTATTGTGTGTTTTAATCTATGGCTTCGAGCCAAGTGGGGGAGCCTGCTACTGATTAGTTGGCTGCACGGTTATGCGCTATGTTGGTTGTAGTTTGAGGCGTGCAGATGAATCAGTTATGACTTACGGAGATTGAGACCGAGGATGACTCAAGTAAAGGAAATTTCAATAAAGGTTATGCTATGCTTTATGGGTGGTATGAGAGTTGTTATACCCCATTTTAACACGAGTCAAATTAGAGTATAACATATTGGTAATTCTGAGGTTTAATTAATTAAGAGAGTCGCCACCTAATTAATTTAAAGATGGATTAGGACACCTATTTACAAAATAATAGTTAAAGTTAACTCTGTTTTATAGTCTGCTTAACTTAAGAGTATAGGTAAGGGTTCTAATTAATCTTATAGGGAAGATTATTAAGGCACCCTATATGATCCGTTAACTACGGTTAACCGGTCAAACTTAAGTTAATTGATAGCTAAGATTATATAAAAACGATTCAGATACATATATACATAGGTTAAAATATTTGTTACATTGGCTTAAAAAGGCTTTCAAAATAGTGAGTATCCTTCAAATTGTTCTGTCTAACACACGCTTAAGAGAAAATCTTTCAACTTAACTAACAAGAAGCTCAAGAATATATTTTTTGATTAAACAATAATTTATCAAAATGTTCAGATTTAAACCCAGAAACTTGCTAGATCTCAGATGATTAATTACAGAAGAACTCGTCTAAACTAAAGAAATGGACACAAAGTTCTAATGAGACTTTAAGCTCGATTTGGATGAAAATGTATATCAACTGGTTAATCTTAAATTCAAGGAAAACAATCTCGAACTTTATGGAAAATCTTAAAGATAGATTAAGACTTAAAAGAATGGTTTACATGTGTATTTACCGTTCTCGGCTAGATTTATAAAAGTCAAAACTTAATGTCGTTAGAAACTGGCTTGACGAGAAGTTTTTGAAAGCATCAATTTAAGTGAAACTGATTTTATATTCTTATATATAAATGCTGTATTTTTATGTGATTAAAATTGTACCAAATTGATAATTAACGAAACATACTATGCTAACACAAATTTTAACATGTAATCCCAGAAATTGAAGATAAACTCAAATCACACAAGTAAAAGTCAAATATCATGAATGATAAGGAAAAAAGAAATGAGAGGCGCCGTAGACGTCCCCAAATGTTTAGCTTGTTTTTCTCGCTATCCGATAAGGAAGATGGTATGCAACGACTCCATGTGGCGGTGGTAGCATTAAGTCTCTATGAGACTCCACTGCGAGATTCTCGAATTAAGATTCCATTTGCTCGAAAGAAATAAAGATAAAGAATTAGAGCAGTGAACTATTGATTCTTTAAAATTGATACCAATAACAGAATATGTATTCATTGCTACTTTTTTTGTTCTCGTACCTTAAACCATGGGGGGACACAATTTCAATACATCCAGGTTAACATATTAGATACACATATCACTTCCTTTCCATCAAGGTCCTAACTTACAATGGCAAATAAATATTTTGCAAGACAACTAACTCATTATAAAATCCTTCTTAAAATCATAGCATCTAACAGAGAAGTATGCAAAAGGAAATGGATATTTTCATGTGAACATTTTATCAAATACTAGTGAGGCATGCTTCTAACAATACACACCAGAACATAATCTCGTTAAGAATTATTGCTAACAACTTTAGTCATAGAATCATTCCCTTAAACAAACACAAATTAGAGCCATTTTTATAGCATCAAAGATAAAAGCTTAATAAGAACTAACAACCTCGAAGCAAACACGCACCGGGCATGGAACGTACTGTAATTAGAATCAAGACGAGAGCGAGAGGAGAAGATACGGACCTTTTGCAGGGCAGCGAACTGAGGCGTGTCTTAATGCACTATCGAACTTCAATCTCGACTTTACTCCTCCCTCTCGAACAAAAGCAGACTAGATTAAAATAAATAAAGCAATAACCAAATTTCTGCTATGGCAAATACTAAATAGTAAGAAAAAATTGAGTGCACTCTCTGTCTATTGGGAAAGAGAGCAAGATCATAAAAAAGGAAAGAGAAAGTTGGAATAAAAATGGCAATTCACGTGGGAGGGAGAAATTTTGGGAGAAAGGAAAAAAGAGATCTTTTGTTGAAAAAGGGAAAGATTTCTTTCTGTAAAGCAGATTGGAAAATCTTGACCATAGTTAATTTGAATTTTGAGATTAGGAAGGGCACTTAGGTAATTGACGATTGAGATTGTCTCTTCTAGAGGATTTCATGGGTTTGGGTTGTTGATAATTGGGTATTTGGGGCTATTGGCCAAAAGTATTGGGCTAGGAATTGGGCTGGTAGGTTAATTTGGATTGATATTAAATGGACTAGCAACTTGATAAAATTGGGGTATTTGCATTTATATCCATTTTTATGTCATATTTTAACTTGTGCCCGCTTTGCAAAAAAAATTGCAAGCGTACCCGCTTTTTTACATAACTTCAGCACACGAGGCTGAAGTAGCAAAGGCAATCACGCAAAACTTCAGCATTCTAGTAGCCGGGCCTGAAGTTCAGCTCTAGAGCTGAAGTTTTTGTTTTGTAACTGGCGAACTTCAGCTCTAGAGCTGAAGTTTTTGTGTTGTAACTGGAAACTTCAGCTCTAGAGCTAAAGTTTTTGTGTTGTAACTGGGAAACTTCAGCTCTACAGCTGAAGTTTTTGTGTTATAACTGGAAACTTCAGCTCTAGAGCTGAAGTTTTTGTGTTGTAACTGGAAACTTCAGCTCTAGAGCTAAAGTTTTTGTGTTGTAACTGGGAAACTTCAGCTCTACAGCTGAAGTTTTTGTGTTATAACTGGAAACTTCAGCTCTAGAGCTGAAGTTTTTGTGTTGTAACTGGAAACTTCAGCTCTAGAGCTAAAGTTTTTGTGTTGTAACTGGGAAACTTCAGCTCTACAGCTGAAGTTTTTGTGTTATAACTGGAAACTTCAGCTCTAGAGCTGAAGTTTTTGTGTTGTAACTGTCACACCTCCTTTTTGCGCGCCCGCCCAGAAGGATAAAATGCGCGGATGGAGTTTTTCCAATTTAAGTGACCATATTCGAAATGAGATTATTTATTTAATTCAGAGTCGCCACTTGGGAAAGGTTTGACTTTTGG